AGTTGTATTCATGTTAATTTACTATTTACTTCTTTTATTTGTGTCCTCTAGCAAATATGGAAGCCTTCAATGAGATGTTGGGAAACCATAAAGTCTGCGTACGTCATGACCCCAGGTATGCTTATTCAGCTAAAGCTATGTTACACTACATGGTAATCTTTACTTTTTTATATGACCTCTAACAATTATTGCATTAACCGTTAAAGAATTACACATCACATTTTATGACCCAGTCATAAGGATGATCTGGGCATTCTTCAAGAATCTGCCTATGTGAACGTCACTGAGACTCTAATAATCTTAGGCTACGTCCACACGTACACGGGTATTTTTGCAAACGGAGATTTTCCGTTTTCGTTTTCAAAAATACCCGGGTACGTGTGGACGTAGCCTAAGTGTGATCTAAATGTTCTAGGACTTCACTTTTTTCCCCATTTTCCAAAATACGGGGTTGATTTGGACATTAACATCTTAGAGCCAGAGACTGTAAGGTAGCTTCAGGTTTCTTGTCAAATCAAGGCACTGAGGGGATTGAGCTGGATAAAACGTTCTGATCTATTTAAGGTAGAAAGGTATTTAATCTAATTTCAAAACTTTGCTCATGTTAATGGCCAGGTTGCGTAAGGAGTCCATTGGTGGTATTCCTCCCCATCTCCACACAGTTCACTCAGGCACCGACCACAACTCCTGCCACCTCTGTGCCCAGATTAAATCTAAAAAAGGCCGCAGACAAAGCAGAACCCTACGTGCCAAGCAACGACCTGGGGAACAGACTGTCTTCTCTGTTGGCAGGTAATAATGAAGAACTGGACAGACACAGAGATAAAGTAGTGACAAATAAGAGGATTTATAATTAATTTATTGAAATCCTTTCAGGTTCCGAGTGACACACACTGATAAAAAGTCTCATGGTGGTCCAAGTCCATTGGCCATTTCAGGGGACCAGCTGGACCAATCCCAAGACAGCGATGATAGGAAAGATGGCGGATACAACCTGAGAAGCATGTTTAAGGAAGTCCGCCGACCTTCAGAAAGTGCCAGTGGAGTATCTGCAAATGTGGGAAGAAGAAAAAAGAGTGTGACTATATTTGGGCTAAGGCGGGGCAGTGACCCTGTAGGTATGAAGGTAGGGGAGGAGACGGGCAAAGATATTGGAGGGGTTAAATTTTCTGTTCAGCAGCAACCTGTAGTGCTGGAAGAGCCCGTGCCTGTTAAGAACACTAAAGTTGATCTTCAGCGTGGCACTAAATCTGATTCCATACTTGAGACTGAGCTACAACAGGAGAACAAAACATCAAGTTCTCTTAATTCTCCTTCTTCCCAGATTAAAACTCTGCTCAATCCTGAACCTTGTAAAAAGATCCAGTCTTCATCCGGGAGTACAGTTGCTTCTGCCCCAAGTTCTCTTCCTATTCCATCTGAGAAGGGAGTAAATGTTGAGGGTCAGTGGATAAAACCTGAAGAGGCATATGAGTTTGGTCCACTGCAGACATCTACACCCATTGTACCTATGCCCACATCAATTCCAGGTTTCACTTCTGTCACTCATACTGGTCAGCTTGACGCCTGCTCCAGGACAGGTTCTCAGCTTATTCAAGACCTAAGCTCTGGTTCAGATATGGAACCAGGTTTAACCCTAGATTCATCCCCTTCATCTTCCTTCCCAATCAAGACGCCATCTTCAGTTTCTTCATTAAAAACTCCTACATCCCCCCTAGCAGGGGCAGCAAGTCCCAAAGTTGGCTCAAAAAATATGCCACCAGAAGCTGTAAAAGGAGAACTTCCTCATGTCCTCACACCAAGCCCGAAACTCCCACTTCACCAAGAAATGTCTAGCCAATCACCTGTTTCCTATTCATCCTTTAGACAAACTTATAGTCCATCACAAGCCCGGGCTCCGGAGAGAGAGCTTGAAGGCACCACAATGCCCAAAGCTGAAGAAAAATTAGAATTTAAGAGACCTGGAATTCTAAAAAAAAATAAACTGTCACCAGTTGCAGCAGGGGAGTCTAAAAGCTCTGCCCTTTCATCTTCACCTGAACAACTTTTTAAAGACAGATCAAGCAGTTTGCCTTTGTCACCTTCTAGCCTGTCTCCCTCCTCACCTCAAGGTGGCAGAATAAGTAGTGTGACCATTGTTAAAGCCAGTCCTGACAGCCAGAGGGAGTTCTCTGTTGTCACAATGGTGGAAGAAGAGAAGTCAACCACTAACGACCAGAAAGAAGACGATTATGAACTTGGAGCTGAAACAGACAAGAGGGTTATCAGATCGGCTGAAGGAGAAGATTTTGTACCAGGTGCTAGACAACCTGAGAGCCAGAGCAGAAAAACTTCTGGTGTAGAGGTTATCCCGTCTTTGAGTCAAGAGAAGGAGGACATGATGGAAATGGAAGATATTAGAGACTGCAAGGTGATGCAGGTGGAAGGAGCACAGTTAATGGAGGAAGAAGTGGAGCTGAAGATGGAAAAGGACTGACAGCTGAAGTCACAAAGTGGTGAAAAGTTAAGTGTCCAGTGCTGATCTAAAGAAAGTGACTGTTGCCACCACTGAGTAGAATAAGGCATTCTTATAAAATAACCATGAGCATATTTTTAATTATTAACTGGTTACACTGTAGGGGGACTGGACTGGATGCTTGATTGAAAAGCCATCCACACAAATTTCAAATTGTCTTTATATAATGGATAACCACTCTTCAGTTCACACTTTGGTCCATACTAAGCACTTCAGTACCAAATATCCCCAAATGATGGGAATCCTCTAAGCTCTACACACTTTCTCACAGCCGGAGCTTTTTCAAAGTTCTGGGAACCGATGGAGGAACCTTTTACTGCGTAGCTAAAAATTCAAGTTATTAGATCTGTTTTTGGGCTGTGTGTAAGAGTAGGACATAAGTGAAGCAAACATACAGTGATTTGTCCAGATATAGTTTGGTCAATCACATGAATGTAGATCTGGCAAAATATTACCATACAAACAACAGTTTTAACATGAGCCCTAAAAATGGACTCAAAACTCTCAAAGTGTTTTTCCACAAAGTTGTTTAGATATAAATTGGATGGATCAGTCATTGAGTCAATCTTTTACAGACATTCATTCTGAATGAATCTCAATACCTCTGGTGATCTTGAATGAAATTTCTGTATCTTTTAGAATGATTGCATTGACATTTTTTGACATTTCATCAAGTTTTTCTCGAGATGCATCTCAATAACTTTTTGTCTAGCTCCACGATCACGTCAAAATTATTATTCTTTCCCACATGCTGGTTTATTACAGAGCCCCACAAGGGACATTGGAGAAAAAAAACGGAGATGAACTTTTGCGAGATCTCGCGAAATAGGCCGCATCCTTCAGAGGTCGCCAGCTCGAAGCTGACCGTGAGGTCGAGGCACAGTGTGCCGGGAGTATGGTCCTCCCCCCGGCTCTAGTAAGCCTCGACCTCGCGGTCAGGTTCAAGCCGGTGGGTAACAGATGTCTTCGAAAACGTCGGAGCGCTTTTGCAAATATGTGATGTCTTGATAAACCGAGCAGATGTTTGAAGTTTACACAGCTACATTCTTGCCTCAAAATATCTTAGTTTAGTTTATTTTGAGACCCAGAAAGAGTAATATTAAAACTAAGTAGCTGCCACCGTTGTTGGAAACTGGAAGTGGCTGGGCTGCGCTATGAATTCTGGGATAGTTTGGACCACGAAGGATACACCGACTCAGCCTTCAAATGCGACCTGCGAAGGATGCGGCCTATTTTGCGAGATCTCGCAAAAGTAACTCTGGATCTCACAAAAGTTCATTGTCATTTTTTTTGTCCCTTGTGGGGCTCCGTAGGTTTTAATTCCACAGCTGCTAAAAGAAATCATGCTCCTATTAGCCTCAGCTGTACTTTGACTTCAGGGGTAATTAGCAGACTTTAGCATGCTAACGAAACTCCTGAGGAGTGTTGAATTGTGTGATTTTTAAGTTTGCTTTTATATTCAACATGAACAGATGGTGTGCACTGTCTTTCAAGATTTCATACCACACAGAAATGAACACAAAACGGTTGTTTGTTAAATAACTCGAGTCAAAGATGAGCATATTCATACGATGGCTGGCAAATCTAATCATGATGGGCCTACAAACACTAGTGACCACACTAGATCCTGAATGAATGGTTCCTGTGTATTGCAGGTGTAATTTTACGTTGAACACCCGGTGTTCCAGAAACTTAGGTTTGCTTCGTCTTTGAATTAAAAAAGTGTGTTTATTGGCTGAACTGCAGAAGATATGTACTTGAAGGTTATTTCTTTCACATTTAGTGCATGGACATGAGCACTAAGCTAGCTATAGCTGAGGTGATAGCAGAGCCCATCACTTTTACATAAAGTGATATCCTTTTACTAATGGCTGTAGTATGACCTGTGGATCAGCGGGCTGTTGAGATGTAAGATGGTCTAGCTGATGGTTGAAACAGTAATTCTTTACAACACATCCATTAGATTGTGAAGCAAAGTGGAGCCATAATGACTCCATGGGCAGCTGGAGATTTATTAATGTGCTGGCTCTCCATTAAGTTGTTGTAATTGTGTTTGATGCTATGCTATATAAAGGTGCAAATGTTGCAAGCTGGTTCAAACAGTCCTATTATTCCATTTTCTTTCCCCCAAATTAATATTTGTGCTAAATTACTGTTAACTGTCATTCATAGGAGAGTAGGTGACAGCACAACAAAGAACTTTACCTTGACAGCAGAACATTTATGATATACACTCTTCTGTATGTGCCCTGTCAGTAGTAGTGCCCCGATAAGGACTTGCACACTGTTACTTTGTTCAAGAACCTTTGCCTTTTATGATGGTGCTAGACACTTTCATTGGCAAATACAAGCCTCTTTAACCCCACACCATGGCTTAGCTTTCTGTCGTTTAAATATGAATGCATAAGTAAATAAATGCATAAATCAAACATGTTATTTTCAACATTAAACTGATGCAAAAACAATATTGGAAAGCAGAGCAGCAAACTGTCTGCTGGTCGTTTGGACGACTAAGCTGCACTTTCTTCCCAAGAAGCTGTCAACCTGCAGGCAACTTCCAAGAAAACTTAAAAATAAAAATAATGTAAAGGTGTACATTTTCAAAATATTGGGAATGCTAAACTGCAACTTGTAACATTTTACATGATATAAAATAAAAGTGAATAGACTGGATCTCTATTGATGCATGCACTCTGTTTGCAATATTTGATTGTACAGTTGATCGTAGCTGTGAAACTTGAACATGGTTATATGAAGAAAGGCCACGTGTCAGAGTAAAACCAGGGCGATATTATTCATTCATTTATTTATAACTTCACTTTTATGTCTATATATTGTCTAATTTAATGAATATTAATAGTAACAAGGTCATTATATGCTTCAACTACAGAAGCATACTTAGCTACTTATATATTCCAGAGGCCAGAAGAAGACTTATTGTCTGCTTCTAGTTGTTTAGAAATTTAGTTCCATTTTTGTGTAACGACACTTTACTCATTTAGTCACTAAAATAACTGATGAGGCTGAGCACTGATAACCACACAAGTTTTAATTTTTTTGAAGCTGCTATAGCTATCAGACTACATTATCATATAATTGATCTTTGAATGTATAGAACCTCCCTCACTTCATGAAGAAAAGCCTAAAACACTCTCATAAAGCAGGGAGAACAACAGGATGTGAAATGTTAATATACAACTTTCCGTACTACTGACAGAAACCACAATATTGGTGTTTTGGCCATCTTTGAACAAGAGAATGGAGCACAAAGTTATATGCTTGTTTAGCAAGCTACAATATAAGCTATAGACAAATTTGATCTCACTTAGCTCTCAATGATGTAGCCTTAAAATGAGGCTGATCTGTATTTATTCAGCTTTATACTTTCTTGTGTGCTTCGAGCCCTGGGGACTCACAGCTGTGTTAAAACAGAAAGTTTAAGAGACACAGTTCAGAGTTCAGCATTATTTCCTGTCCTTGTGAGAAACAAACCCAGAAGTCCCTGGTCTAGTGTCCCAGTTTTCGTTTTTTCCTATGCGTTCGCTTTTCATTCCATTCTCTGAGTGGCTTGCCTCCTTGTGCAGTGTTATGCATGGCTATAAATGAATGAACATATAGCATCTTCATGCGTTAGCGTGTATTTCCATTATTCTCCAGCAAACTTTTCTAGCAGCATTAACATGTCTGTACTTTTCAACATGATACGTTCACAGGGCTGTTTGTTTTACACAGCTGGAAATGTGCATATGAAAGACACAAGGTTTTTTTTCACTTATGCACTATAATTAAACACCCATAACGGTTAACTCGGCATTACATGCATATATATTATATACTCTTTGAAAACATAAAAATAACTATATGAACTGCCTATGATTTGCCTTAACAGAGCAGGTGTCTGTAGCTTATTTTCTCTTCAATTCAATTTTATTTATATGGCGCCAAATCACATCAACAGTCGCCTCAAGGCGCTTTATATTGTACAGTAGATACAGAGAAAAGCCCAACAATCATATGACCCCCTATGAGCAGCAGTTTGGCGACAGTGGGAAGGAAAAACTCCCTTTTAACAGGAAGAATCCTCCGACAGAACCAGGCTCAGGGAGGGGCGGGGCCATCTGCTGTGATTGGTTGGGGTGAGAGAAGGAAGACAGGATAAAGACATGCTGTGGAAGAGAGACAGAGGTTAATAAAAAGTATAGTTCAGTGCAGATGATTCACTAATGTTCCATTTTATTTTTTATTTTTACACTTGAAGTGAAAACTTGACATTCTTAATTACCTCTAACATATCAAAATTTCCACTTAGACTAAGTACAATTAAAAATAAAGCTCAAATACAGTATAGTGACTGGATTATAAAAAAATATGGAGCCCATGATTTAAGACCTATTCTTTTTGTGGTGATGATAACAATATGATTCCATGTAACGCTGGATTTTCATTCACATAATTGTATTCGGTCAAAATGAAGCCGATGATTTAAACACTGATACTATGTTCCTGGTTAACCATGATTAGATCAGTCTGTCTGTTTTCTACAGGTTAATGAATTCAACTTAAATCATGAGTCAAGTTTACTGGATTGCAGCATCGCATCGAGTTATTCAGAAACATTTGTTGCTAAGATATCTCATTCCTAGCTTCAATTGCAATGAATTTCACAGATTTCTTTTCTTTAAATATAAAAGTTGACCTCATGGACAGTGCTGTGTTTTTATGCAGAGGTCAGATTATGTATTAACTGATCGAAGTTAAAACCAGAGTAAAGGCAGGTCTATACTTCACATATCACCTGTACTGTCCGCGTGTGAGGAACTGATGCTATACTGACAAACAAACGTGATATTTGTTAGTAGAAAAAGTATGTAAAGTCACGTGACTCGTCATCTGGTTTTCACTTTAGTTGCATTTTTTTCTTCTGCTTCAGGCTGACAAGATAAAACCAGTTCTTGGAATTTGTGTGGTTCATTGAGATAAGAACTCGTGCTGCTACTGAAGCGCCACTGAAAGCTGCAAAACCTGAAATAAATAAGCAAGCAAACAAAAATAACTACTATAATTAGCTTGATCAATCCTGGAGTGTGAGTGTTTGAGAGATGTTTCTTGTGATGAGCTTGGAATATTTGTAAAATATTATACAAACACTAAAGAAAATGTAAATAAGCAGATGGATTATAATATATTCTGATGCAATAAAAAACAAAACAAAACTCTGGTCTGTGCTTCTGAAAGCTCTGAGTGTGTCTTTTTTCCTTATTAGATAATGCCACAAGAGCCACGTGATTCAGGTGGTAATGACTTACATAAATAACCAAACAAACTCCAAATTTAATAACTTAATTTATTCCACAACAATGACTTACAGTACAAAAACAATTATATAGAAGAGGATATTTCAAAAATCCAAAAGCAAATTGTTTAATTATGACACTAGCCTTGTTATTATAATATCATAATATAAGGGTAAACAAGTAGATCATATGTTAGCCTTCGACATGCTAACTAGCTTAACTGTTGCCGTTTAGAATAGCATGTATGCTAGCTAATGTTAGACTTCATGAAAATAAAACAAATACCTAATGTTACGTCTGAACTGTGTTTGTTAGTGATTGCTACACTAAAACTTGAGAGGTCCAAGTTTAACACATGATTGTGTAGTCATGTGGGAAGGAAGGGTTGCATTTTGGAAGGGCTGCATAGCTGCAGAGCCACCTTTAGCAACAACAACTTTCTGTATTTCTTTATGAATCACACATTGTGCAGGAGTTTTAGCCCGCTCTTCTTTACAGTGTTGCTTCGATTAGTTGGAGTTTGTGCACATTCGACTTTAATATTTAACATACTTACTGGGGTCTGAAGTGTAAGATGTAGCGCTCGGGTGTTTTGCAATTCTCTGACAATTGCAAAGTCTGAACTTGGAGTGAGTTTGCACACCTCCATGCTCCCGACCAGCAAACTGCCAAAACCTCTTCTTTATGTTAATCAAGTGCATTTGATTATCAACAGTTGGCTGTCATGTAACTTGTTAATTCCTATTTAAAAAGTAGTGCTATATAAGCTTTCACAGAAGTGTATGGAGTGCTGTGAAAACTTTCTTTTTCACACGACTGCAATCAATTAAGGTTGTTTTTACAATGCCGCTTTAAAAAGATACTTTTTGTAAAAGTTTCATGTCAATATTACATTCTTTACATATAAATGACTTTGTAATGCTTCTTTGCTCTTCTAGCTGCCCAAACAAGTGGGGACATATTGTAATCCTGACTGCTGATCTAGCTGTAGCTTTAGTAATACTCATATAGGAATGTCTCATTTTGGATTCAGGACAGACTCGCTGGACTATCTTGTGGTTCAAAGTCGTATTGCATGTGCAATTTCTTATTTTTACAAGTTGTATTAATAAAATTGGCATTTTGATATTCCTTGTAACAGTGCTTTGGCAGTCTTTAAAAGGTCAAGTACTAAAAACAATGCTCTGGATCTAAGCTGCCATGTTTTCTTGATAACCTGTTGTTCCTGCAAAAGCGACGATGAACAGAGCGGTGATACACACACAGATTGCAACTACTGTACTTGTGTGACGCCTCACATGACCAAGAAAACCACCTGACGATACATAAATGGCACAAATCAGCAATGTTTTGGCTGTAACAAGACAGCTACGACTCCAGTCTGTCTCAAGCCTGAGATGAAGTCTTCTGTGTTGGAGGTGGAGGAGGTGCTCGACACTGAAACAATACAGAGAGAAAATAAATGTGGGTTTTGATAAGCACTGATTTGTGTGAGCTCAAAGATATTCAAATCTTCCGTCAGCTAGTCCCAGCTCTGTCTCCGTGTCACCCTGTACCGAGCATCCTCTTCTGTCACACCAGCCCTCTGTGTGTCCTCCGTTGCTACATCTATGAATCCTCTCTGCATGTGTCCAAACCATCTCAGCCTTTCCTCACTAACTTTGTCTCCAAAATTATCAACCTGATCTGTCCCTCTCATCACAAGCATCACATCTACGGTGCTGTTGCTCTGCATGAAGCCCTACTGCTGCTCACTGATCGCCACCTCTGTACCTTCAACAGCTGCCTGCACATCATCCTTGTTGAAATCAGTACCAGAACACCACTTCTCCATTCCTCAGGCATCCTTTCCTAATCCTCTACACTTCCTTTACTAACCACCCATGCTCTCATCTCCTACATTCATGAACTCCTCACAGTACTCCTTCCCTGTCTTGAACACATTTTCTTCAGGTCCTTTTATTTAGGGCTGGGTTTTGATTATGGATTTATCAACTAAAATCGATTCTGGCTTGGATAACGTGACATCAATTCATTAAAATCCTGAATCGATTTTTTATATAAATTTATTTTGCCCGAAACGCCAGAATCTCAGGTTAAACCTCACAAAATTTCAACAACCACCAAACAGCTAAAACAGTAAATGAGAGCAGGAACACGGATTCTGCACAGAGACGTAAACACAAAGCGCCGACCCGCCGACGGATCAGAATCAGTGAGCTGAGCTTTCTCACCCGACGGCACGGACACGGTCGGGGCTGAAAGCCGACAGCTCGCCGATTCTGATGTTTCGGCGGCTCCGCGCTTTGTGTTCACGCCCTTTATGCGCCGATTCTAAAGCTGTTAGTTTTATCTCTCCAAACAATATTGACCGAACCAGCAGCAAAAGAAGATCCAAACTGCGCTTCGTCATGGACTCACTCTGACTTTTGCTGTTTTGCTTCCACCAGGATAAAATCTCACTTCATGCACGGCTCTCTCTCTCTCCCTCTCATCTGTTTTCTGCATTATTCGCTTGCTTGTTTTTACTTTAACTTACTTCCAGAAAGAAAACCTCGTTTCTGCCGTTCAATACTGAACAAATTTAAACTTTTTAAAATTATGCAAAATTGCAAAACACTCAGCTGTGTCTGTAATCAAACCTCTGTAACTTTGCTCTGCTTCACTTCAGCAGCATCAGGTGATGTTCATATGCTGATTAATGGTTTTCTTTCGTTTTTGATGTACTGCAGAATATTTTTATAAAATCCCAGAACAGGAAAATCACCTTCATGTTTTTCTGTGTTTTATCTTCAGCTACTTTGACACAAAGGCCTCTGCTGTGATGCTCACAGCTCTGATAAAGTCTGGCAAGTGTCAGCTTCCTTTTTATAGATATAAAAATGTGAAAATGACTGATGCATGATCAGAATTATAATATTTCTGACTGTCTGAGGCAAAATTTCCCCGATTCAAATCGAATCGATTCTAGAAATCAGTGACGATACCCAGCCCTACTTTTATTCTTGCTTAGAGTCCAGTCGTATATACAGTTCACTTTAAGCCTTTTCTTTGCCACCTCTCTCTGCTGTACATCAACTTCTATCTTATCTTTCTTCATCTCCATGCTTATTATTATAATCCCCATAATTAAAGTCCCTGCTCTCACCTCCAAACTTTTGCCTTTTCTTTGTCTCTTCCTGCCTCTTAAAATGCCCTGTCTGGGCTTCTGCTTCCATACCTCCTCTGGGGTAGGCTTTTATTTTCTATAAGATACGTGTGGGTGTTGCACCTACTGGTCTCAGTGGAGTGCTGGAGTGCTCAGGAGAGCTGTGGCTGCTGGTTCCAGCCTCTGGCGGTGCAATAGACACAGAGTGAAACACCTCAAATGACACATTTTAGATAGAAAACAGAGAAATAGACTCTACCCGGTCTGTTGCCTGCCAGCTTTGATCCCTCCATTAGAGCAGCCTGCTGTTTGTCCTCCATACTGCTCGGAGAAGCAGCGCTCAGTTCTGAATTACAGCTAGGAGCTGAGGGTGTGGGGATGGGAGGGGAGAAAGGGGGCATGGTTGGGGTTGGAAGAGGCTGGAGAGGAAAATAAACATCAGAAAAACTGATTTTTGAATTTCAGAAGATTCTGATAACCGGGATGTAGTCTCACCTCCATCTCCCCTTTTTCTTCCTCATCCTCCTCTTCATTGTGAACAAGCTCTACCATCAGCGATGGGAAGACGCCGACGTGTCCGTTCAGCTCTCCCTCCCAAAAACCATCATCAACCTGTAAAAAGACTCACTTAGATTTGCAGTCTTCACCCTGAGTGACTGAAGCGAGGTAAAAGCTGGTGGCTGTTAGGGTTTCCCTCCCTTCCTCTGTAGCTTTGAAAGAGCTAAATTGTTACGAGGTGTTTTTTACTGTAAAGCGCTAAATAAGCCACACCCTCTATCCATTCATGTAGAGCAGTCATGTTTGTAGGGACAAAAAACATTCTTAAAAAAAGTATTGCTGTTGGTGCATGATGGGCTCTACGTTGTTTTCTACAAATCCAGGCTTGTGATCACTCCAACGTCCAACGGCAGCGTAGAACACACACCTCTCCACGTGGACGGCGTATCAGGTGTATTAGCGCCCCCTCTTGGAAGGAAAGCTCCTCTGCGCTCTGAGCCTGGTAGGAGTACAGAGCCCTGGCTACACCTGAGACACATCAGAGCACATGGTGTAAACTCATATTACGGAAATTGGAAAACAATACATCTTAGATTCATCTTCTTAATTTATCTTAGTTTTTCAGTTATTTCTTATGACTTTCAGTGACTGAATGAAAACAGACTTGATCCAAGTTTTAGGAAGGATTTGTAGGGCCTGGGTCAATATTTCCCCTCTGAGGCAGCACTTATTTATACAAAGTGCACAGTAAGTAATGTGACGTCAAGTGCAAGAGTAAACATGGCCACAGACCTCTACTCCCTGGCGTCTCTTTAGTCACAGTGGAGGAGGTGGAGCTGAATGAGCTTTCCAGCGGAGTGCTGTCCTCTGCTGGCAGACACAGGAGCTGCACATACCGCTCAGGGACGTAGCCCACCTGACCACACGAGTTACACACCTGCACAGAGAACATCAGAGTAACCTTTCCAATAAAGTACATTATACTGTATCACATCAGTATTGTTACCTTCAGCCAGTCCTCCATATCTCCATCCTCGATTACTTGAAGCTCCTCCCCTTCCATGATTGACAGCTCATCTGATTGGCTAGCCTAAAAGAGATAATTTTCCATTATTTAACTGTAAGCCTGTTAATGCAGGTTATCAAAGAGCTGTTATTACTCTATAGTAACATTATAGTGATACAAACCTAAAAAATATAACACAGACCTGCTTATTTTATGAAAACATCAGTTCAGTGCTGTATGCAAAGCCTGGTCCAGCTTTGAACAGCAGGACCCCAGAGACACTCAGTCTGTCCTTTTCTACATCAAGTGCTGTGTAGAGAATGCGACATCCGTGTTTTTGCTAACCGAAAACTTTGGACGATGAGTGAAGTACAGGCTCTGATCAGAACTCGGGACAGTTTTCTGTGAAGCGCTCCTTCAACCTAAGGAGGGGTGCAAGCAGCATCCCAGGGGATGTGGTTAAAGCCTGCATGGACCAAATGGCAGAGATCCTCACTGGGCTGTTCAACCTCTTCCTGACTAATGTCATTCCCACCCGTCTGAAGGGCTCCACCATCATTCCCATCCCTAACCGATCTACCCACCAATGTCATCGTCAAGTATGCCAATGACACCACTGTGGCTCATCTCTGATGGAGATGTGACAGCGTAAAGGGCAGAGGTGGAGAACTTGTCCTGCTGGTTCTCAGAAAATAACCTGAAGCTGAACGTCCTTCAGGAGGCACAGGCAGGTCCACCCTCCTCTCATTATAAATGGAGAATGGGTGGAATCTGTCTCCACCTTCAGGTTTCTGGGCACCCACATCTCAGCTGATCTCATCTGGATCAACACCAACACCCTGGTAAAGAAGGCCCTGCAGCGGCTGGACTTCCTCCATGTCCTAAAGAGGAATAACCTGGACCAGAACCTGCTGCTGTCCATCTACTGCTCCTCAGTGGAGAGCCTCCTCTCCTACTGCCTGGGTGATTCATACCCAGGGGCCACTACTGAGGACAGGAAGGCTGCGCAGAGGGTAAAGAGCACCGCCCAAAAAATCATTGGCTCCCCTCTATGACCCGTGCAGGCCATCACCAGATCCTCCTGACTTAAACTTCTTTTTTGTTCATTTCACATCTCCAACATCGAGCTCGAGCATGCTTTGGGGTAGCTGATGAAGGACCTTCTTGCTTTGATGCAACAATGCTATCCACTGCACCACTATGGCACCAACAACAGCCTTGAGCATCTTGTAAACACCTTAACAGCTCTGCTTCAGACTTTGTACAGATCTTTTAGACTCATTGATTCATTGAATTTGCTAAAAAAAGTTTTAAAAACTGTGTGTGTGTGTGTGGGGGGGGGGGGTGCTGATGATCACTACCTGATAGCTGTAAATACCTCTGCAGGCTGCAGGGTAAACACACACTCCAGATGCTGACACTGGATCTGTGAAGATCTCTCCATTATCATCGTAGTCCTCAAAGTCAGTCAGCTCAAACTCATCCTCCTGCAAAACAAAGTTTTTAAGGGTGTCGTCTCCACTCTGATCCCAAAAATATTTTTAGAGCATCTGCAAGACACGCTGAGTGATAAAACAAGTGTCATCCAACAAGCATGCACTGAAGTTAATTCTGTATCTGAAATAGTCTTTAGCCTGTTTGTTCCCCTGTGTGTAACATCTGTTGTGTGCAATTATGTTGTGGAGTCATACTTGTGTGTTTTTGTTGTAGACAAAAAGCGACTTCCTGTGTTGTGTTGGAGGCTGACGGCTGATTTTAAGGTCAGGGCAAAGTTAAAGAGAACGTATTTTGCTTTCCTTACTTTCTGTCACATGTATAATGTTTCAGTGGTGGAGGCTTATATTACAGTTATACAGTCTAATAAAGTTTCAAATAATGAGGTCAGGATGATATCCCTATGTTCTTCATCTCAGATACACCTCTGGTTGGTCTGCAGGTGATGGTCAGAGGCAAAGGCAAAGATTCTTGGGTAAAGAAAAGGGTAAGGTTAAAAAGTCATAAACACACAAGTAAAACTTAAGGTGTAACACAACTGATTGACAATTTATACCATGTACTTTAAAAAAACACTCAAATGAAGTGGGGTCATTTTTGACCCCAGAGGACAAAAGGAGTATTGCGTTATGAGTGATTGAGGCCTCTAAAGAGGACATGCAAGCCACCATGTGATGAAAACGCAGCTCAATCTGTGTGTTTGTTTGTTTGCATACTGAAAAGTCTTCAGTAGACTTCCTCTGTTCGCTGAGATGTCGCTCTCTCTCCAACTCCTCTTCCACCTGGTTCATGGCAGCGTGAAGCCATTGTTCTGTTCCTGGTGTGCTCTCTGACAGCAGGGCCAGGCGAGCCTCGGCCTTCGCCCTGTTCAGCTGAAAAACCAGGAAACTTAGTTAGACACACACAGACATGTGACTCTGAACCCCGAGTCGCACGGATTCTGTGTAACTCGCGAATTTTCCTGAGCTTTGGTTTGGTCATAAGCTGAAACCAAGCTGATTTTGTGTGCCTCAGTTAAACGACCATGATCAACATCGAAATCTAAATCCCTCTGAGACAAATGCAACTACACAGACACGACATCTTTCATATTTCAGCTATTATAATGTAGATTTCCAGATGCCGTTATTATATATTGTCCCTAATATAACCCACCGTCTGTGTTAGTCACTTCACCTCTCTGTGCTCGTGAAGTTATGCCTGATTGGTATGGTATTGGTGATGTCACTGCTGTGATGTCACAGATTCAGATCCAGCTAATGATATAAAACTGATCAAACCTGATACAGCACCAATTTTTATTTCACCAGTGCAACAGATTTTGTGCTTTGGAGCGTTTTTAATCTGACGATTGATAGTGTTGATACTTCGTGGTATCAACAATGTTGAATGTTGGATTTTGAACTTATAGGCTGGAAACACTTTCAAAAACAAGTACCTTGGCTTTCCTGACGCTCTCCTGTACCTCTGCTATCTTCTGCTCCACACTGAGCGCCGTCTCCCCGGATAGGAGCTTCAGTCGGCTCTCTAACATCTGTAGAGCCTGATGAAACAAAGCAGATCTTAAAGTTAACCTAATGCAAAATTATACATTATACAGGAAACCAGAAAGGAGCCACTGCATCACAATGGTGACGGTTCTTCCTCTAGTTTCTCACCCTCTCTCCGTGGGCAATGATCTTGTGGTCTTTAGCCACCTTGGCAGTCCATTTCTTAGCCTCCTTCAGCAGGCAGCCCTCTTCTTCTGAACCACAAACTTCCTGCAGAACTGACACCTATGAAGAGGAGTACCAGCGACCACAATGTGACTTTACACAGATACTTTTTCATTTGAGTATTTCTTCGTTTAGAGTATAGTCCCGGTTTATTACATTTCAGTGAAAAAAACCTTCTAATTTACTAAAAGCTTAACAGCTTTAGTTTGTAGTTCATTTTAAGATATAGACTTTGTATTGAATTTGAAAAAGTAAATGATCTGTTGTAAATCCTTTCCAAATAAAGCTTGTGGATCATCAAGAATGAGATTTCCAGGTTGGGTTAATGTCCCTGTGTCACTGTTAAAGACAGAAACAGGAGAGGGAGAAGGAATGTTTGCAGGGGGCGAGAGAGAAAGACAGGCAGGAGCAGTGTTGGTCAAGTTACTTGAAAAAAGTAATCGGATTACAGTAACACGTTACTGCCCATCTCTGGGCAGGTGTGGAGGTGTGAGCATGGACAGGTACAGGGAGAAAGGTGGCTGATATCGTGGAGAGAAGGCAGATATGCTGTTTGTGGAGAGTAGATAAGAAACATTTACCAGTTCAGTAACAATGTTATTGAGATGAAAAGTGAAGACACGATCATGAGTTTAAAGAGTGATGAGCAATGTTGCCAGTGCCAATTTATTAGTCCACAACGGTTGGATGTCAGAAGAGAAAGAATAAGAGTAAACTGGTTGAAGTAGTAAGTGAAGGGACCAGGGGTGAGGTGTGGGATAGGCAGGATGTTAAAGAGAGAAATGGGAAAGGACAGATGGTACTGAATCTTCCAAAAAGGGTGGAGACGGTTGTGAAGAAGGAGGGTCTTAGGCCATGTTCACTTGAATCGCTTTGAATGACTTTCTGAAGCAGGTCGCATTAACTGTGTCTACATGCACAATGAGTTACTACCATGTGGTTTTCTGATCAGATATGTGCATTGGGCATTGAGTGAGCATATAATGCAACCACACTCTGGTTCAACTGCTGTACTGTAGGCAAGAGGAAATTGCAGCGGGTGGGCAATTGGCACCCCCCTCAGAGACTCTATTCTATTCTATTGTTTTCTATTCTATTCTAAATTTTTTGCCAATGTTTGCCAAGTCAAATATTTTCTCTCATTGTATTAAACTGAGCCAAATATGCAAAATATCTCAATATGGAGCTCATCACTAAATCTCTACCACAATTTGTGGACTGTCACTGTGGCGCTTGGACTACAGTCAGCATGTCTTCCTTAGACACACCTTGTCACGCAGAGCAGGCTGGAAGGTAAATTCAGGGGTTTTGCTGAACGATACCGAATCTTGGAGAAACTGCTGAACATTTCTGTCTCTGGTCACCTGCAACACAAAAACGAATTAAACAAAAGCAGGTTACACCATCCTCAAAGAAACAAATAACTCTCATTAACAGCAGCGCTGCAAATTCTGCTGAATTTTTCACAAATGCTAGAAAAGCATGAACAAAAATACAATGTTCTGACTTCTACCGACTTTGGATGAACACCTGAAAGTCAAATGTACTCAAAATGTGCAGGGAATAACTCTGAACTGGCAAGAGAGTACAGGCTAAGGGGAACATTCGAGATTTATTCAGCTTCTCCCGGTCTAGTTTACTATCTGCAGTGACAGATTTGATTTGGCTACAAACAACATCTACACAAAGTCCACACATGAAACTGTTTATGCCATTTCTATACATCTACATGTAAATGATGCTTCTCACCTCATGTGTGCTGGATGCTGAACTTATTTGTACAAGCAGCTGGATGTTCAAAGAGTATTGTTTCTAAATGTGGTTATCACGGTTTCCTCATAGTGAGGAGGGTCTTACTATGAATCTGTCACGATGCATCATTTATTCAGG